CACTTGATGCATAAACAATAATGATGGCCGACAACTGTGTAGGGAGTGAGAAAGAAAGGAGACCGGCTTCGTTCTCATCCCTACTCCGTGCTGTTTACTCGGTCAGAAGTGACACCTGTAGACATCTGGCGGGGATAACTAATTAAATGACGATACATCAGTTTTCGACCGGAGAGGAAAAATGATTAAATTACTAAAATGGCTATTAAAAAATAAGGGTTGATCGTAGAAGGGTGAAAATTGAGGATTGTATGTATTTTTGTATGTTGTATCATAAAAAAATAGAAATTAAAAATTTTGTCTAAAAAATAAAAAAAAAAATTTAGGGGTGGACAACCCCTAACATTTAGGGGGATGAAAAATAGATGTTGGCCGATTCTCATAGATACCGGATAAGCACAAAAAATTTCATCAAAATCGGTCAAGCCGTTTCGGAGGAGTATGGCAACGAAAACTGTGACACGAGAATTTTATATATTAGAGATTATATTATCATTATATAAGAAATTCTCCCAAACATATTACTATTACTTTTATTATGCGGGTATAAAGGCATTTCGCCTTAACGCAGACGGCAGACCGGCTATTTTTGCCATGTATCGTTCCTACTGGCCATCGCTATCTTATCTTATTTTATTTGTAAGACGATTCTCACTAATCCATTTCTATATTGCTATTACGGCGTAGGACGTTTGCGCATCGCTATTGTTACGAATTACCTTTTTTATAGGCCGTTTGCGCATCGCTATTGTTAAAAAAGGTATAGGGTGATTTCCTATACCTATTGTTATGAATTACCTTTTTTATAGGCCGTTTGCGCATCGCTATTGTTAAAAAAGACATAGGGTGTTTAAGTGTTTTTCTATAACAATACAATTATATTGCATTATAATTTTTATAAATTACGTATGTTATCAATAATATTACAAAACTATAAATGTATACAAAAATAATCGTCAATATTCATATTCAGTTATATTCCGCTTTACAAAAATAAAAAAAATAAAATATTTTTGGACGTATACTATCATAATATCGTTTTAAAATGTTAGTAATTTTACAGTCGTCGTGTCACTCGTGTGTAATTCGTATTTCGTGCTGTACTCGCCTGTACCTACTGCTGTTGTCCGTAGTGTTTCGTTTTTAGTTTCGTGTTCAATTATTCTGTTTTAAAATGTCACAAAAACGACAAAGTGAAATAAACTTTTTTTTTTAAAAGTTGAAAACAAGTGACGAAAATAATCCATCTCCAAGTGAAGGTATAGAAAATGTAAGCGTGTTACCAACAGAGTCAGAGCCAGCTACATTTTATGATTCGTGTGAAGTCGATTTTAACAGTCAATATGATATCGCATTTGCTATTGAAGAAAATGCAAATCTAAAAATTCGAATCGATCCAAATATGCTTTACAAATATTTAAAAGAAACGTGGTCACCTAAACAAAATTATATTTTCCCTGTAAGTATGAATAAAAAAGGTCATAAAAGAAGCTTTCAAATTGAATGGCTAAATAAGCACAACTGGTTAGCTTATAGTCGTAATAGAGAAGGAGCGTTTTGTAAAGTATGTGTACTTTTTGGACCAAAATTTGGTGGGATTGGAGGACAAAGGCTTGGGGTCTTAAAAGAAATTCCTATGATAAAATACAAAGATGCTTTACACGATTTTAAGATACATATGGAAAGAGAATATCATAAAACAGCAATTGTGCGATCTTTAGAATTTATAAAATGTTTTGAAGGCAAACAAAAAACAATAGAAATTCAACTTGATGACCAACTAAATGAAACTGTCGAACAAAATAAAAAGAAGTTAATTCTTATAATTAAAACAATTATTTTCTGTGGTCGTCATAATATATCTATAAGGGGGCATAGAGACGATGTTAATTTATCAAATCTGATTTCAAATGACCAAGCAAAAAATAATTTTAATATTGGAATATTCAAAGAATTGTTGATGTTCAGAATAGACGCGGGCGATGTAGATCTTCGCAATCACTTAGATGGGTAGAATCTCACGAGGCGATTATTCGGTTTTCCGATATGCTTATACCTATTGTACAATTTTTGGAAGACATGACAGTTAATACGGATGGAAATATACTTTCTAAATGTAACGGACTTCTTCATTCAATATTGACTTTTGAATTTATTTTGGCCTTAGAAGTAGCAGTAGAAATATTGTCTTTGACTTTGCCAATATCACGTAAATTACAAGACCCTGGTTTGGATTTGACTAAATGTATTGAAATCATACATACTGTATTAGATGTTCTTAAAAACAAAAGACAAAATGCAACATTTAACAACATTTTTAATCGAGCCGTATCAAAAGTCGAAAATTTAAATATTGAAGTTAAAACACCACGAATATGCAAACAACAAATAAATCGATCAAACAACATTACTTCAAGTCCTGAAGAATATTTTAAAATTACGGTATACTTCACAGTTTTGGACAATTTCATAACATCTATTCAATCCATGTTTTTTGACAACCAAAATCCAATATTATTTAAAATCCAACAACTGATACCATATTATTTACACAATAAATCTGAAGAACATATTATAGAAGGTGCCACTTTTTATGAAGCAGATTTGCCTGGATCCATAGACGAATTAAAAGGTAAAAACAATTATTATAATAAATCACTAGGTATTACATTTTTGAAATAAATTATAAATGCATTATTACAATTATTTACAGGTGAAATTGCATTGTGGCAGCTGCATTGGACTCAACAACCAGTAAAAAAGGAAAAATTAAATACAGCAATAGACGCATTCAAAGAAACTGAAGATGGGTATTTTCCAAACATTCGTCAACTTTTACTAATTTTAGCAATATTACCAGTAACAACATCGACAAGTGAGAGGTCTTTCTCAACGCTAAAACGCATAAAAACATACTTGAGAACAACAATTGGGGAAAACCGTTTAAACGGGTTAGCTTTGCTTAATATCCATAAACAAATTGATGTAAAACCTGAAGAAGTGTTAGATATGTTTTCAAAATCTAATCCTAGGAAATTACAATTATCTTTATCGTTATAAATATTTACAATATTATTATAATTTAAATATAATCTTCAACAAATAAAAAAAAATACACATATAAAATTATTGTCTATTTGTATGTATTTGTTAATTACTGAAAAAATTTAAGATTTGCATTTTGGACTATGCCCCCCCCCCCCAAATTAAATCCTGGATCCGCCACTGAGTGGGAGCCACATATCCCAAGAAACTTTTTGTTTCACCTTGCAACTTGTCTAATGAAAAGGCCAATGATTTCATAACCTTACAATATTCATTTATGAACCCCCACTCATTATTTTTCAATTTGGGCAAATGTAACTGTTCAAATATTATTGCTATGTTTAGTTTGTGATCTAAAATTTTTTGGGTTGCATCATATAATGAATTCCACCGAGTCACTACTGGAACTGGAAACTTGCACTTACAAATATCATACACTTTGTCAGATGCTGCAGTACTTCGACTTGCTAAATTCCAAAAATTTGACAATTTAGAAAATGTAGATTTGGATATTTTGGTATAATTGTTATCAGAAATTTTTGAAATGTCACTAGCTGCAATTAAATTTAACGTGTGAGCACAACAAAGCATATGTTTTGGTAGACAAAATGTACCATCTTTCTTTGAGTTTGATTCAGAAGTTAAAAACAAGTTATTGAATTCTACATTTTCTAACTCAATATTTGAACAGTCTGATCCACTATCAGAATTTGAAGTAACTGAATTGTTTTCATCAAAATTACCTAAATCGTTCATTGTTTCTTTGTGAGCAATGTTTGGAGAAGTAGAGTACACCCTAAATGCTTTTCCAAAATTTGCAGCATTGTCCGTAACAATATGGGTTATTTTTGAATGTTCAATGTCATATATTTGTGTAATTTTTGATATAACGTCAGCAATGTTTTGGTAGTTGTGGCTTCCCTTAATACGTTTACAACCAAGAACATATGAATGCCGAACATATGTTATTTCATCAATGAAATGGCATGTCATTCCTAGAAATAAATCAAAATAACATATTCAGTAAATTAAAAAATACTAGAGAGATTGTCTCATTAGTTATTAAGAATAAGAACAAAGTCATTTAAACATAGTCATTTGGACTTTGGGATAATTGGAGAAAAAAAAAATATATAAATTAATAAATAAAATTATTTTCAATGAAATTTAAAATAGTACATTATTATAATATTATAATAGATCAATGTCAAAATATATTAAGAAAAGTAGTTCTGCTGGTTTATTTATATTTATAAATTATAAAACCATTGATATTATGTTTATAATATTTACAAATAAAAAATATAGTATTGTATCATATCGAACCTAACCAATTATTATTTAATTTTGCGTATTACCCAAAGACAAGTATTAACTAACCTATTGGCATATTATAAGTGTTTTTCTAATATTAGTTTAAAATGTTGATCATTTTTTAATATAATAATACAAGATTTAGATTTTAATTTATTATTTTTATTTTTGACATCAATAACTAAATATTTTTTATACATTTTTGATATTGTATTTTAATTTTTGGCGTACCTAACTATAAAATAAAAAAAATTATTTTAGCCATATTTTTAACTTTAATATTTTATATAATAAATAATTTGTTGATATTAAAATATTTATATACATTTTTAACATATTAGGTATAATAAATAATTTATAAATTGACTGATTTATGTTTATTAATTTTTTCACTTTTTTTACTATCTCTACATTCAAATGGCTATGTTAAAGTGTCCTAAATCAAGTCATTACCCATGTAACTTCGGTTGTTTGTACTCCATATGTCAGCCGTTGTACAAACAAAACTACTTTTTGCTATCAATTCCATCAACATAGATACGTATGATTCATATTTGTTATCTAAAAGTTTTGATAGCTGTCTTCTGTTGGGTATTATAGAGTCGTTTGATCCAGTAAGTCCAATTATTAAACGTTTAAAACTTGGTTTCTCACATGTTCTTAATGGACACATTTCGTTAATAATATAATCAAATACTAATGTCTTAACCTGAAAATAAACAAAATAACAGAAATTAATATAATAATAATTATCATTATTATCAATTACTAGAACCTGGGAAACAAAAAACGGTACTGGTTTGTTATAGCCCCGCCACTCATGTTTGTTATTGTCTTAGACATCATAAACAATTGTATACATTTTTTAATTTATCATTGTTTTATAGGTTATTATTTTTCCATTTTTTAATATTAAGTATAGGTATCTATCATCAAATTATTAGATTTATATCAATAAATAACCTGTATTCTTTTATATTTATACGATGGGTTTATTGTAATATGGATGGCTGGGCTATAACAAATCTGAGTGACGGGGCTATAACAGAACCAGTACCCAAAAAACATTTAAAAATTACACAAATAAATTTTAAAATCACAAAACTAGCAGAGTAATTACCATTTCCTTTGTCACTATTTTTGGACGCAAATCAAACATTTTTGTTTGAACAGAATTAGAATCAGAATTATTTTTATTTCTTGTTCTGGCTATCTCAACTTTGGAGAGTAAGAATGAATGTTGACTCTATAAAAAAAAATTGAATAATTATTTTAATGTTAATGGGTAGGTACGTAGGTTACTTTGTACACCTTATAAAACAATTTCATAAGAATAAGAAATTGATGACTTATAACTACTAACAATATGTCTAATATGTACCTATGGGCTATGATATAATTTATAAATTATAATACTTTCTAAATTATTGGTGTAGCACCTAATGGATACCAAGGCTGGACATTAATGAATTAAAAGTTAAAATTAAGTTAAAACGTTAAGTTAATTAACTCCTTACTTTTATTTCAAATTAATTTTTAACTTAATTAGTTACTTTTTTTAAAGATTAATATGTTAACATCAAGTTAATTTTATTCCAACATATCTAAATTAAGTTAATTTTCGTCCAAAGAATAATGCAAATTTTTAATGAGGATTTTAGAAAAGTAGGTTTTTTGATAGCTAGTTAATACTTTGATGTATCATTTTAAAATTCCCCAGTAATTTTCATGGGCGTAAAGAAAAACTAACTAATAAATATTATTAGGTATATGTCTGGAATTTTTTATTTTGCAAATTAGAAAATTTTAACTTTAAACTAAGTTAAGTTACTTTTTTTTCTAAGTCAACATTTAACTTGACAAGTTAACAAAAAAAAATATGAATAACTTTTAACTTAGGTAACTTTATTATTTTAAAACAACTTAACTTAACGAGTTAAAAAAAATCGTTAACTCGTCTTGCTGGATTCTATGTACAGTATATGACTAATATAATTTATAATACAGTATACACAATACGCACCTATTATAGTTAA